AGAATGGTCGACCTCAAATCAACCTGACGTTAAGTGAGAGTAACCAAATCTCTCCTTTGTTGGCACAGCGACCAAACACGTCCGAACTCAATGGTTGGGAGGTGAAAAAAGAAATCATGTTCTTTTCGGAAGTCAGGTCATAAAATTCACACGTGACTCGGAAGTCGGGTCATAAAATTCATACATGACTCGGAAGTCGGGTCATAAAATTCACACATGACCGGAAACCATTTTTAGTTTCCTTTTTTTTCTTTCTCATTATAGGAAAATGAAATTCTCTATTTTTATTCTTATTCTTTTATTTATTAGTTTATTTTCATTCTCCCACATCTCACCATTTTTAGAAGGGATTTCTGTCGCCCCTGCATCATAAAATTAATTTATTTTTACTTTAAAGTTCTCAAAGAGTGGGATATCTTTTTTCTATTTATTTCTTTTCAGTCTTTTCTCAGGTCTTGTGTTAAAAGGTAAATGACATGATTTAAGTTCCTTGTTATTCCCAACTGCTTTTTATTTACTTTTTTGACTTGATTACCATGATTACGATAATTTATTCAGTTCATTTTAGTATGGTACAACTTTAAATGATACGAAACAATGAGCAAAAGACTATGCTACGTCAACATTTTAATGAAAATGGCGTGCCTATAAAATCAGTAGTCAGGTACTTAGTGTCTATCTTTGTTTGATAACCGGTATAGAACAAATTTATGAATGATATAACCTTCTCGACCAACAAGAAAACGTTAAGAAATATTTAGTTTGAATTAGAATTAAAAAATATGTATAACTTGTAATCATTGTAGAGTCTCTACCTACGCACTGAAACTAACAGAAAATATAAATAGACTATAATCTACCAATCTTCTAAATTACTTTATTAAAGAATTCAAGATTAATAATTTATTTTTATTCTGACACACATCACTAATATAATAAAGTGATATTCATTATAGTTACGCTCATCGCCCGATTCACAAGCCTTTCCCATCTTTTGAACAGGATTAGAGGCTTATCCCTTGTTTCCTGTTTAGGATTGAGTTCCCGGTTCCTACTCCTAACGACGTTTCATTTTTTTCACTCCCTGTCGCCCCCTGCGTCTTAGTGACATTATTGCCTTTCTTGAGATAAAATGATTAAAAAAGTCAGCATCTTCAAAATCAACAATTTTTCTTCATAGAATCTCTTTTGTATGTACCATGTCCCTTCAAAACGTGAGTGACAATTTTCGATCTTCTGTAACTCTCAGCAAGGTTTGTTTTCTCCAAATCCATGCTCAAAAGATAGAAAGTTGTGGAGGACCATGATTCTCCACACCCTGAAGGAACATTGCACATACGAGAGTAGAAGGAGAAAAAGACGAATATTATCAACAGCTATAAAAGATAGGAAGATATCGAGCACCATGACAGTCCACGTCATGAGAGGATAAGATACATAGAAAAGGGGAAGCATAATACTTATTTTATGTACCGTCTCCCTTCAGGACGTAGGCGACCATGACTCTCCACATCTCCATACAAGCTGATTCTCTCTGTCCCTCGTTCTCTTTAATCTGCCTTGTGAGTATTTTATTTTCCAAGCCCAACTTCTTCATTATGTGCCCCAGAAATTTCATCTGTCTCTTCCTAATGTTAAAAATAAGGTTCCTTTTTGCTTCCCTTTTCTTTAAGACCTCAATGTTGCTTACATGTTCGGGCCATGGTATTATCAGAATCTTTCTGTAGAACCACATTTCTATTGTCTCAAGTATCTTCTACATCACTGAGGAGATTGTCCAGCATTCACTGCCATTTAGGAGAACGAATATCACGTTACAAAACAACTATAAAGATAGGAATTTGTGGAGACATATTATCGCCCACGTCCTGAAGGAACACGGCACAGAAAACGAAGCCACATTGTTCCCTCCTACCTTGTATAATTGAGAAATTATCATAGTTCGTTTCTGAGTTTTACTTTAAATGTCCCTGCGTTTAAAATGTTGTAACCAGCTTGGGATATGTGAGATCAGCATTTTCTTTTTCTCTTTGTTGTGTCCCTTTGGGACGTGGAGATAAAGCCTCTCTACAACTTACAGTGAAATACATTCAGAAAATCACTATCTTAGATACAAAAAGTGTCCACATAAAGAAAACTTACATACTCGCTCTTGTCCTGGGTTAGACGATAAACTACATCCAGCAGCAAGGCCTCTGATCGGTAGAATGGAGGTTTTGAGGAACGTGGAACCAGCTCTTAAGTGCTATTTGCTCCCAGGTTCAACTTGACACTTGTTAGGGTCTCAAAATCATCTAGCACGTATACACTTCTGAAAACAGGATAACGTATATCATATCTTTTATTACTTCAATGCTCAGAAGAAAGTTAAATTTTGGCATTAAATGACCCATAAGGTGTCAATATACCGTTAAACAAACAAATCAATCAATCATACTTGCTCATTCTGATCTGTTCAAAAGCCTTCTCAAGAAAAGCCTTTGTTTAGCTTAGTTTTTAAGTAAAAGACATGATAAAGGTTTTCTATCAAACAGCACATATGGAATGCTGGAAAATAATAATAATTATAATTAACAATAATAATAGTAAAAATTATATTTACAGAATATAACAGTGCCTCTCTCGGGAACGGAGGATTGTACTCATAAGAGTTGAAACGCTTGGAATCGGTACAAGCATGGTGTTCTATACTACAGGTCTACTCATAGTGCAAGTAAGAGTAAGGACTGGAAGCCTATTTAAAATTATTTGAAATTAAGGAATTTTGTAAGGAAAGTAAAAACAGCATTCTTAAATTATTTTTTCATTAATTTTGTCGTATAAAAACAATATATTAGCTTCTATCTTACTTTTTATTTGTAAAATAAAATTAAATACAAATACGTTAAGAAAATAACAGATACAAAAATTTTCCCCATGTGCACCGCACACCTACTTTGTCAATGTACTATGCTCAAAAACCTTCTCAGGAAAACCTTTCTTTCAGCCCTCAGATCGAGAAAGCTGGAAATAATAATAATAATAATAATAATAATAATATGAGTATAACCCACACCTTACGAAGGGTGTTATCAATGTAAAATATGTGTTTTTGTTTTGTCTTTGATTTTTTAATTGCTCAATGATATCATTTCTGACCTTAGATCTCTGGGCGGGACCTGCAAATGAGCTCAAACCAGAAATCAAAGTAAATAATAATAATAATAATAATAATAATAATAATAATAATAATAATGTAGTTTCAAATGGGTGCAGAAATACGAGTAAAGCACAATACACCGACTAAAATTGCTAAATACTTAAAAAAGAAAGCAATTGCAACCGACCAGATACAGAAACAATGGCAAGATAAACCGCTTCGTGGCCAATACTCTGCCCATACCAAACAAGCTGATGGAGACAAGCCTCGTACCCATCAGTGGCTACGTAGTGCAGGGTTGAAAGCTGAAACGGAAGGTTTTATCCTTGCTGCACAGGGCCATGCTTGTTAACTAGAAATTATCAAGCACACATACTAAAATATTGTGTTAGCCCAAAATGCAGATACTGTGATAAATATCCAGAAACAATTGATCATCTTGTAGCAGGTTGCACGGTATTGGCACCCACTGAATATAAAGCCTGGCATGACAGAGTAGGCCAATATCTGCACTGGAAAATCTGTAACTTCTACGGGAAGGAAACTGAAAGAAAATGGTATGAACACCACCTAGACTCGTTTACGGAAATAGGACCTGTTACAATTTTATGGGACTGCACAATACACACAGACAGAACAATCAAAGCTAATCACCCAGACATCGTTATTAGATACAGTAAATGAAAAATAAGTGCCACCTTTTTGATATGGCAGTCCCAGCAGGCTGCAATGTACCGTTGAAGAACTTCAAAAAGTTATCAAAATACAAGGAGCTTGAAATCGAAATCTCAAAAATGTGGCACATGGAAACATCAACAATCCCTGTTGTAGTTGGAGCCCTCGGATTGGTGGGAAAAGATTCCAGTAGACTAATTGAAGAGATTCCTGGAAAACCATGCCTTAAAGAAATACAAAAAGATTGTTCTCACGAGTACAGCCCACACCTTACGAAGGACTTTATCTATGTAAAATATACATTTTTTTTCTAATTGGCGAGTGGAAAATGTCATGATGCCATTTCTAACCTTAAGTCTCTAGAAAAAAAGTTTTATTCACATGTACAGCTACCACATTACGAAGAGCTTTATCTATGTAAAATGGGTGTGATCGTGTTTTGTTTTGTTTTTTTGTTTTTTTTTCGGAGAGGGGGTAACAAAAAATGATCACTGGAAGATGTCATGAAGCCATATATGACTTTAGGTCTCTGGTTGGGACCCGGGAGGAAATGTGAATACAACACAAACCCAAGGAAATAATAATGAATTGTAATGATGATTAACTAAAGATTTGGGACACTTTCAGAAACAAAGACAGCATCTATAATATTTCTAAACATTTAACATCATTCAGCATATACATTCTACCGAAAACATTTCCTTAATCTTACAGAAAAGTCTAAATATCTACATAATATTATGTTTGAAATAGTTGCTCATTTTCGGGTGTCTGCTACTTTTGTCGCTTATTTGAGACAAGGCCATTGTATATTTAGAACCTGTGGAGAAAGAGGAAACCAGGATAATTGCCTACTTAGAAAAACGTCAGGCACCCTCGTCGTTACAAACACTAACCGACATTGCTCAAAAGAAAGAAGAATGAGTAAGCATCTTCTGTACTCGTGACTATGAAGAGTTACACTGTTGGAGAAAGAAAAACTATTGATTACCTTTCCCTCTTTCTTTTCACCACTGCTCAGGCAACAAAAACACACACATACTTCATAAACACCACTGTTCCCCTTAACCACCTAAAAGTTGTCTGCATCTGTTTCGATTCTCCTAGAAATGATCTGGCCAAAGCCCAAGACTAATGTCTGTAAACCTCACTGTTGGAGGTCGACTGGTACAACAAAACTAAGTTCATGTCTCTTGTCAGGCGAGGAGGGTTTGGAAAAGGTCGAAGTAAGGTAAATTAGTCTGATACAAATTTCTCAGCTTCCTTCTTTTTTTTTTCTTTTTTTTTTTTTGTTCATTTCCATTCTTTCCTTCGTTTTATAGTTTATTTGACTTTTTCTTCCGATTGCTTTTTTATTTAACTTCATTTCTATTTCTTTCTCTCGGACTTCAGATATTTTTAAAAGCCCCCTTTTCTTTAGTCTTTCTTTCTTTCTTGTCTTGTTTGTATCTCGCCATTTCTTTATTATTGACTTATTTTTCTTTCTACTTCATCCGAGCATTTTTGTTTTTGTTTTATTTCCATTATTGTTGTTGTTGTCGTTTTCGTCGTCGTCGTCGTCATCTCTTTCACTTTTCAAAAATATGTCCGCTTTCTAATACTCTTCTTTCTTGTTCCGACATTTCTTCTTTTTCTTTTTCTTTTCCTCCTTTTCCTTTCCCATTTCTACCTATCCGTCTCCTCTTCTTCTTGTTTTCTCTTTCTTCACTCCCCAACAACACCTTCCTTTCTTTCTTTTTCTTTTCTTCCTTTTTCTTTCCCATTTCTACCTATCCGTCTCCTCATCTTCTTCTTCTTGTTTTTTTTTCTTCTTCACTCCCCAACGACACCTTTCTTTCTTTCTTTCTTTCTTTTTCTTTTCTTCCTTTTTCTTTCCCATTTCTACCTATCCGTCTCCTCATCTTCTTCTTGTTTTTTTTCTTCTTCACTCCCCAACGACACCTTTCTTTCTTTCTTTCTTTCTTTCTTTCTTTCTTTCTTTCTTTCTTATTCTTTTCTTCCTTTTTCTTTCCCATTTCTACCTATCCGTCTCATTCTTCTTTTCTTCCTGTTTTTCTCCTTCTTCACTCCCCAACAACACCTTTCTTTCTTTCTTTTTCTTTTCTTTCTTTTCCTTTCCCATTTCTACCTATCCGTCTCCTCCTCATCTTCTTCTTCTTGTTTTTTTTTCTTCTTCACTCCCCAACGACACCTTTCTTTCTTTCTTTCTTTCTTTCTTTCTTTCTTTCTTTCTTTTCTTCCTTTTTCTTTCCCATTTCTACCTATCCGTCTCCTTCTTCTCTTCTTCTTGTTTTTTCTTCTTCTTCACTCCCCAACAACACTTTTTCTTTCTTTTTTTTTTCTTTTTTTCTTTTCCTTTCCCATTTCTACATATCCGTCTCCTCCTCATCTTCTTCTTCTTGTTTTTTTCTTCTTCACTCCCTAACGACACCTTTCTTTTCTTTTTTCTTTCTTTCTTTCTTTCTTTCTTTCTTTCTTTCTTTCTTATTCTGTTCTTCCTTTTTTCTTTCCCATTTCTACCTATCCGTCTCCTTCTTCTTTTCTTCCTGTTTTTCTCCTTCTTCACTCCCCAACAACACCTTTCTTTCTTTCTTTTTCTTTTCTTTCTTTTCCTTTCCCATTTCTACCTATCCGTCTCCTCCTCATCTTCTTCTTGTTTTTTTTTCTTCACTCCCCAACGACACCTTTCTTTCTTTCTTTCTTTCTTTCTTTCTTTCTTTCTTTCTTTCTTTCTCACCTCCAACAATATTTTTCTGTCTTTCTTTCTTTCTCTTTTCTACCAACATTTGCCTATTCTTCTTCCACCTCCTCCTCTCCTTTTTATTTTAAACGTTGCCTTCCTTCTTTACAATCCTGCCCCCTTCCTTGTCGTTTCTCCTAATCTTCTTTTTCTCCTCATAATTTCCTCTTTTTTTTATCTTTACTTCCTACCCCTCCGTCCTCTACTACTCTTCTTCTCTTTCCTTCTCAACATTTTCCCGTCTGTTTCGTTTCTAGCATGTCGGTGTCAGACTAGAATCATATCATCTAAATTAACTATTATAAGACACCCAACAGAGAACTAACGGCGCTATGAAATATATATATTGACCTTTATCTGCGGGTGGTTTGCTAAACCCGTTTGGATGAACGTAACGGTCAATGTGACTATATTAACCTCTGCTTTCCCCTGTTCGATACTGCAACCGATTTACGAATTTCACAACGAAATTCAATACTTTGTGGACCAACTATGATAACAGTTTACAAACAAGTGGACTCTGTACAACTTCTCGGTACTTGTCTCTTCGCTTAACCTTTTTGTTTTGAAATAAATCTTTCAAAAGATGACGGCAGTGCTTAAATTTTCCCGGCAAATTGGTTTTCGAGGGTGGAGGTGAACGGAACTAGATTTCTTCAGTGAAATATTAATCTCTCAGGGACGTTGTTGCGCTAAACAAATTATGTTTTTTTTTGTTGTTGTTTTTTTTTTTGTTTTTTTTTTGTTGTTTTTTGTTTGTTTGTTTTTTTTTCTTTCCCGTGTCACGTTTGTTATTTTTTATGATTAAACATTTATGGAGGATAATTCTCCCAGGAGAAGGAAGGATTTTCGCGCTGGGATCAGACAACAAGCAGCCATCTTTATTATTTGCATAGTAGTCGGGTCGTCTCTGTTTTAGAATTAAGAAGAGCATTCACCTGACTCAAAGTCTGACACAAGATCACATATTTAGATGAGTCGGTTTAGCTTAAAGTCGCTACAGATAACTTTCAAATTTACTACAGTTTTTTTTTCTTATTTCAAGTTTTGATCATATTAATTAGATGTTTGTATAATACATGATACCAAAAGTATTATTTAATAAAAATACTTTAAAATATTCTAATGTTTAGATACACAGCGTGATTGCCACGGTTCATTTAACGTCTAAAAAAGATAAAATTTAATATAATGTTAATTTGGAAAAATTATTCATATTTAACTATTATCTGACTACATCTGTCTATATTTCTTTAAGATAAGACTGTATGAACATCATAAAGCCGTAACACGAGAGGAAATAGAAAAATCAGGTGTGGCTAAATATATAGAGAGATGGAAAATGAAGATAACTCCGGCTTCGTGGGATGAGGTTGAAATAATGAAGAGCATCAGTGGAAAATACGAAAACTTAATAAATCAGCGCATATGCTAGGCCACAAAAATCTCCTAAGCCGGCCAAGCCACGACATCAATGCAATACGGAAACCAGTAATAAAGTGTGCTAGAGAAAAGCAATAATAACAACAAAATTGCAATATGAGCTCTGGTAAAAATCGTTACTGAGAGATTAAGTTTAGTCCTAAAAAATTCTGATGTCCCAAAAGATAGCCCAGATAAAAATGCTGGTTGAATTAATCTAGTGACTTGAACTAAGAGCTGTAGGTCCAATACCTGGCCACAGAAAGGTGAACGGAAACTTAAAGTTGAATTACTAAAGGGAAATAATTGAGTCAGAAATATCCAGAAAGGGTGTGCGCAACTAGAACAATTTAACTCGAAATATAGTGTTCGGTTTAAAATCACAACGTATATTAACTGAAGAAGGCTGGAGCGTACAACGGCCGAAATGCCTACGACAATATAGATTCGGACAACAGTCCGAACAATATATATAGTGTCAATAGTTATCATCTGATTAGTTCGCTAACGTCATATTGTATACAATTAATTTTACTTTCACTTTAATACAATATTTTTGTTGTGTTCAATGTCTTTTAAGTTGATCTTGAGCAGAAGAATAAATAAATGAACAAATAGCCAACTGAGATAGTTTAGGTTTTATGGAATGTGACCCAGGTCAGTGCATGGGCGTCTCGCAGCGAGGGATTTTAATAATGACTAGCACTTAGAACATTTTTTTAAAATCACGTTTTTAAATGTTCAAACTGGGTCACACAAGCTGATTCTCTAGGCAGGGATTGGCAACCTACGGCACGCGTGCCACACGCGGTACGCCAAGCAATTTCAAATGACACGCAGCCGCAAATGACATCAACAAGTCCGAACCAATAACTACAATAAGAAGATATTTAACTGTTTCAGTTTTAATCTCTATCTATAAAAGGCAGAATGTGTGTTTGTGTGTGTGTGTGTGCGTGTGTGTGGGTGTGTAACGAATGCACGACCGCAATTTTCGACGGATTTGCACCAAAATTTACATGCACATGCTCCAAGTTAGCGAGAAAGCCAATACCGACTTTGCGCTTCCCAACTCACATCGATAGTGGAAATAATCGATTTTTTTCATGCTTCTACGGAAGTTTTCATGTAGTTTGCGGCCATTTTCTACTGGCCAGAGTGATAGCCTATAGCTGGCTGCCACGAATAGGCAGGAAGATTCTATTGGCCAGCGTGAGAGCCAACAGCTGACTGACACGAATGTTAACTAGCATGCTAGCATGCAAAAAAAATCGATAGCTGCATTCGTCACAAGTGGGAAAAATATAATCTGCATGGCACTTTACTCCAATTGGCTCATTCGCTTGCTTAAACTCAACGTTGATTCTGATTCCGCAGAACTGGGTTGGGTGTGAAAAAGTATTTGTTGTTAACAATCTTTTTTCATTCGTTTTTTCCAGTTACGAGTTCTTTTTAAAGCTGATCGTTTTGTGTTCATTTTATTTAGTTCTTTTTTCGTAACATATTTAATGTTACGTATAGAGCTTAGAAAAAATTCGCAGTGCAAGAAGTAAGGCATGTAGCAAAATCACTACGGCCAAGGGCACTCCTTTAAAGGCAAGGAAGGGCAAAAATATTTTATGTCAAGAGATAGCGATTGCTGTATGAGTCGTACGATTTTTGAATCAAGCACGGGCAACCATTCTGCTAGTATATACTAAAGTATATATACTATATATTATAATATAAAATATACTGTACAGCAGGAATATTGACCTTGACTTGTATAAAAATACGTATGGTGTTGGCACACTGAATGATTTTAAAACCCTAAGTCGGCACATAATTAGCAAAAGGTTGCCGACCTTTGCAGGTTACCAAAAAGAAACCGGCGGATATTTTATTAGTTAAAGATTAATATTGTATATTATTTGAAACTTTTATTTATTGCCAGTAGATGTGTATCGACTCCAATGCGCAGAGACCTAATTTAATCTGTTCGATCTCGGCTTCTGAAGTAGACGAACCTGGCTGCTTGCTCAGCTACACCGGATCTTCGATGCATTATTGCTGGGAAAATTGTTTCACTGTGTCGCGTTGGACAATTTATATCGATAGAATCTATCTTACATATTTATAAGTCTAGTATTGCTCCACACATTTAATATTGCTGTCGTATCTGGTCTGGTGCTTCAGTTACGTTTTGAGAGATTCTTGACAAAATTCAAAGAAGAATCTGTAATGTGATCGTTGGCGTCTCGGATTCCTTCACTTTCCCACCGTCCTAACGTATCTTTCCTGTGAATTTTCTATAAATATTTTCATTGGTATCCAGACTCTATGAATTTAAGCGAACTATTATTTACTCGATCTGATATAGCCATAAGATTTATGCTAAAAGTTTCTTCTTTCGCACTTCTCACTTGTGGAACTAGCTTTCGGCTATGTAGTAGTAATTCCCTATTTGTTAATTTTGGTTTGCTTACAAATGAAAAGTTAGTAGTCTACACTTATTTTGTCTCGGTACCAAACAAACTAATTCATCAACACTTTCCAAAAATGATGGCTCATTGAAATAATATGGAAATTGCAAGTTATATAGTAAATATAAAACATTTTATATTGCTAAAGACTTTCCCTTATGGGTGAGTAATAATTGCAGAATTTATTTATTAATATAAAATGACATTCTGCGCTATCACATCAACAGAAATAAACACACACACACGCACACACACACACACACACACACACACATATATATATATATATATATATATATATATATGAGGAGGCACGGTGGAGTAATGGAAAGAGGAGAGCCGAGTTCGAATTCCAGTCGAAACCATTACATTCACTTACGTGCTAATACCCTTGGGAATGGTGTGAATCCTCTTCTTCTCCCTTCAGCTATGGGTAAATAGCAGGTCAGACCGGGTTCTATTGCCTTGGATGGCAACTGGTCTAGAAGAAGAACAACTCTGAATTCAAACCCGGAGTTGAGCCCCTAAGGCGGATGGACGGCACTTTGTGCAACAAACCATCGGCACATGTTCTCCCCTGGTAAGCAATCAGAGCGCGAAAGACCCTGTCTACGTTGCAAAGGATACAGATACAGGATCTGCTCTTGAATTACCCTCCATGCGGTATGCTAGGGCCACTTTATGTGTTTTGAGACCTGGATCGTCTCCAAAGCCTGTAGAATGTGCTCATCGAATTTTAGACCGTGGATAAGATTACGGAGAATGTAGCAAGGTGACATAAGGGACTATTCGATATGTGAGAAGATCCCTGGGATAAGTGTGTGTGGCATCGAGAGGATGCTTTTAAGAGAGATACAGAACCAAAATCGACACCCTCCATATATATATATATATATATATATATATATATATATATATATATATATATATCTGAATGTAATGAGAACGTAATATATAAATTCTAACGTTCACAGCATTAACTCAAAAGTGGTATCAATACCGATAGTAAAGCAATAATTATTTAAAATATTTTCATATAGACAAAAACAATTTACTGGCTACAAAGCTGTAACTTCGTTTCAGTGCATTTATTTGCACCTCGACTGGTGAGAACTAAAATGGTTATGAATAATTCTATTTGTAAGCAGGCGGTCTACTTACAAACAGAATTATTCATATAAAAATAAATAATATAAAAATAAATA